TCATGGACCCAGCTCCCTACCCCTTACCCCTCACACCCCTCACGCACCCTGCCCCGCCGCCCATGCCCCTGGCCCCACGGCTCCCCTCCGCCCTTACCCCCACCACCCACGCACCCGCTCCCCGCCCATCCGCCCTTCCCGCTCCGCATACATTCCCCTTGCCCAAGCCCCCCACGCATCCCGCCATGCTTTTCATGACCCATGGCTCCTGGTCCTATTCTTCATCCCTTGAGCTGCTCCACCCCCACCCGCAACCCCCACCCCCACCCCGCACGCACCCTGCCCCGCCGCCCGTGCTTGTCATGGGCCCCTTGCTCCTGGCGTCATGCCCACCCCCAACACCCCACCCTTTCCACACTTCCAACCCCCACCCCCACCACCCACGCACCCCGCCCCCCCACTGGACCCATGGCTCCTGGCCCCATTGGTGTTGGTCACATTCTTCATTACTCGACCTGCATGGCTGCCAACGCTGGTCCTATGTATGGCCCCTGCTCCACCCCAACCCCCAACCCCCACCCCCATACCGTGCCACCCCCAACCCCCAACCCCCACCCCCACCCACCCACACTTCCAACCCCTACCCCCACCCCCCACGCACCCCGCCCCCCACTGAACCCATGGCTCCTGGCCCGTGGCTTTTCAGCTGACTTTAAAGGGCCCCAGTGCATGCCCGGGCCCTCCGCCCGCTCCGCCCTCCGCCCTTCCAGCTCCGCCCACTCTCCTCTGGCCCATGCTCCCACTCTCCATCCCCTTGACCTACCCCTCATGGACCCAGCTCCCTACCCCTTACCCCTCACGCACCCATTCTTCATCCCTCGACCTGCAGGGCCATGGACCCATGGCTCCTGGCCCCATGTCTCCCCTCCGCCCCGACCCCCACCACCCACGCACCCGCTCCCCGCCCATCCGCCCTTCCCGCTCCGCATACATTCCCCTTGCCCAAGCCCCCCACGCACCCCGCCATGCTCCACGCCCACCCGCAACCCCCACCCCACTCCGCGCGCACCCTGCCCCGCCGCCTGTGCTTGTCATGGGCCCGCCCCCCACTGAACCCATGGCTCCTGGCCCCATTGGCTCATGGTCCACGGCCCATGGGTGTGGCTTCTCAGCTGACTTTAACCCCATGACTTTAGGCCCCAGTGCAAGCCCGGGCCCTCCGCCCGCTCCGCCCTCCGCCCTTCCAGCTCCGCCTACCCCCCTCTGGCCCATGCTCCCACTCTCATCCCTCGACCTGCATGGCTGCCAATGCTGGTCCTATATATGGCCCCTGCTCCCCCCAACCCCCACCCCCATCCATACGCACCCTGCCACGCCCAACCCCCTGCCCCGCCGCCTGTGCTTGTCATGGGCCCGCCCCCACTGAACCCATGGCTCCTGGCCCCATTGGCTCATGGTCCACGGCCCATGGGTGTGGCTTCTCAGCTGACTTAAAGGGCCCCAGCGCAAGCCCGGGCCCTCCGCCCGCTCCGCCCTCCAGCTCCGCCTACCCCCCTCTGGCCCATGCTCCCAGTCTCATCCCTCGACCTGCATGGCTGCCAATGCTGGTCCTTTGTATGGCCCCTGCTCCACCCCAACCCCCAACCCCCACCCCCATACCGTCGCACCCTGCCACGCCCAACCCCCAACCCCCACCCCCACCCACCCACACTTCCAACCCCTACCCCCACCCCCACGCACCCCGCCCCCCACTGAACCCATGGCTTGGCCCCTTTGGCTCATGGTCCACGGCCTGGGTGTGGCTTCCCAGCTGACTTTAAAGGGCCACCCCCCCACCCCCCCCCACCCCCCCCACCCCCACCCCCCTCCCTGCCACCCCCAACCCCAACCCCCCACCCACGCACCCCGCCCCCCCACTGAACCCATGGCTCCTGGCCCCATTGGCTCATGGTCCACGGCCCTGGCTTCCCAGCTGACTTTAAAGGGTCCCAGTCAATGCCCGGCCCCCACCCCCCTCCCCTGCCACCCCCAACCCCCAACCCCCACCCCCACCCACCCACACTTCCAACCCCTACCCCCACCCCCCACGCACCCCGCCCCCCACTGAACCCATGGCTCCTGGCCCCATTGGCTCATGGTCCACGGCCCATGGATGTGCTTCTCAGCTGACTTTAAAGACCCCAGTGCATGCCCGGGCCCTCCGCCTGGTTTGCCTGCTCCGCCCTCCGCCCTTCCAGCTCCGCCTACTCACTCTCCTTTCCCCACCCCCAACACCCCACCCTTTCCACACTTCCAACCCCCACCCCCACCACCCATGCACCCTGCCCCCCTGTGACTGGACCCATGGCTCCTGGCCCCATTGGTGTTGGTCACATTCTTCATCCCTCGACCTGCATGGCTGCCAACGCTGGTCCTATATATGGCCCCTGCTCCACCCCAACCCCCAACCCCCACCCCCATACCGTACGCATCCTGCCACCCCCAACCCCCAACACTTCCAACCCCTACCCCCACCCCCCACGCACGCCGCCCCCCACTGAACCCATGGCTCCTGGCCCGTGGCTTTTCAGCTGACTTTAAAGGGCCCCAGTGCATGCCCGGGCCCTCCGCCCGCTCCGCCCTCCGCCCTTCCAGCTCCGCCTACTCCTCTCTGGCCCATGCTCCCACTCTCCATCCCCTTGACCTACCCCTCATGGACCCAGCTCCCTACCCCTTACCCCTCACGCACCCATGCCCCTCATGGACCCATGGCTCCTGGCCCCATGGCTCCCCAGTCATTATGGTGTTTTCTAAGGTGGCTTCTCCGCCCCTACCCCCACCACCTCTACCCTTCCCGCTCCGCATACTCCCTCCCTTGCCCAAGCCCCCCACGCACCCCGCCATGCTTCTCATGGACCCATGGCTCCTGGTCCCATTCTTCATCCCTCGACCTGCATGGCTGCCAATGCTGGTCCGAAAAATGGCCCCTCACCCCCAACCCCCCCCACCCCGCTTGTCATGGACCCATGGCTCCTGGCCCCAGGGCTCCACCCCGACCCCCAACCCCCCACTGAACCCATGGCTCCTGGCCCGTGGCTTTTCAGCTGACTTTAAAGGGCCCCAGTGCATGCCCGGGCCCTCCGCCCGCTCCGCCCTCCGCCCTTCCAGCTCTACCCCTCATGGACCCAGCTCCCTACCCCTTACCCCTCACGCACCCATGCCCCTCATGGACCCATGGCTCCTGGCCCCATGGCTCCCCATTCATTATGGTGTTTTCTAAGGTGGCTTCTCCGCCCCTACCCCCACCACCTCTACCCTTCCCTCCCTTGCCCAAGCCCCCCACGCACCCCGCCATGCTTCTCATGGACCCATGGCTCCTGGTCCCATTCTTCATCCCTCGACCTGCATGGCTGCCAATGCTGGTCCGAAAAATGGCCCCTCACCCCCAACCCCCCCCACCCCGCTTGTCATGCACCCATGGCTCCTGGCCCCAGGGCTCCACCCCGACCCCCAACCCCCACCCACCCCCACCGCCCCACGCACCCCGCCCCCCACTGGACCCATGGCTCCTGGCCCCAGTGGCTCATGGTCCACGGCCCATGGATGTGGCTTCTCAGCTGACTTTAAAGGGCCCCAGCGCATGCCCGCCCCCTCCGCTCGCTGCCCACTCCGCCCTCCGCCCCTCCAGCTCCGCCTACTCCCCCTTGGCTCCTGGTCCCATTCTTCATCCCTCGACCTGCATGGCTGCTGGTCCTAGCATACTCCCCGCCTTGCCCAAGCCCCCCACGCACCCCGCCATGCTTCTCATACCCATGACTCCTGGTCCCATTCTTCATCCCTCGACCTGCATGGCTGCCAATGCTGGTCCGAAAAATGGCCCCTGCTCCACCCCCCACCCCCAACCCCCACCCCCACCCCGCACGCACCCTGCCACCCCCAACTTCCAACCCCCACCCCCACCCCCACGCACCCACACTTCCAACCCCCACCCCCACCGCCACGCACCCCGCCCCCCACTGGACTCATGGCTCCTGGCCCCGGGTGATGGATGTGGCTTCTCAGCTGACTTTAAGGGCTCCGCCCTCCGCCCTTCCAGCTCCGCCTACTCCACTCTGGCTCATGCTCCCACTCTCCATCCCCTTGATCTACCCCTCATGGACCCAGCTCCCTCCCCCTTACCCCTCACGCACCCTGCCCCCCCGCCCATGCCCCTCATGGACCCATGGCTCCTGGCCCCATGGCTCCCCAGCCCAAGCAGGTGGCTTATCCGCCCCTACAAAAATGGCCCCTGCTCCACCCCAACCCCCAACCCCCATACCGTACGCACCCTGCCACCAACCCCCAACCCCAACCCCCACCCAAACCCCCCACGCACCCCGCCCTTTCACTGGACCTATGGCTCCTGGCCCCATGCCCGCCCTTCCAGCTCCGCCTCCTCCCCCCTTGGCGCATGCTCCCACTCTCCATCCCCTCGACCTCCGCCGCTTGGCCCGCTTGCCCTATCCCCACCACCCACGCACCCCGCCCCCGCCCATCCGCCCTTCCCGCTCCGCATACTCCCCTGCCCAAGCCCCCCACGCAGCCCGCCATGCTTCTCATGGACCCATGGCTCCTGGTCCCATTCTTCATCCCTCGACCTGCGTGGCTGCCAATGCTGGTCCTATATATCCACCCCCACCCCCAACCCCCCCTCGCTTCCTCGCTCCCTCACTCCCCCACTTTTCCATTCTCTCACTTCCCCATCCTTCCTCGCCCTCCCTTACTTTCACTCCCCTTTTCACCCCACTCCCACACTCCACCCCCACCTGCGCCCTCCCCATCCCTCACTCGCATGTGGCTTCTCAGCTGACTTTAAAAGGCCCCAGTGCATGCCCGCCCCCTCCGCCCGCTCCGCCCGCCCCCTCTCCATCCCCTTGACCTACCCCTCATGGACCCAGCTCCCTACCCCTTACCCCTCACGCACCCTGCCCCGCCGCCCATGCCCCTCATGGACCTATGGCCCCATTGGCTCCCGTCGCTCCAGGCCCCTATATAGACCCTGCCCGCTCCGTCCGCCCCCTCCCCTATAACTTGCGGTATCCTTAGGGCCCGGTCGCGGCGACTTTGCCTGCAGCAACCCTGAACTGGTGTCCGCATTTCCGTCGATTGTCGATGCGTCCGTCTCGCGTGGTTGACTTAACCTTTGCCTTGCACTGTGGGCAGGCATACGAATAGCGTGCAGTTGCCGACTGCGCCGCGACAACTTCGCCTGCGGCGACAGTGAACATGTGGCCGCAGTTCCGTCGATTGTCGATGCGTCCGTCTCGCGTGGTTGACTCAACCTTTGCCTTGCACTGTGGGCACTCATACGAGTAGCGTATGGTCGCCGACCGGGTCGCGACGACCTGGCCCGCGGCGACCGTAAACCTGTGTCCGCACTGCCGTCGATTGTTGATGCGTCCGTCTCGCGTGGTTGACTCAACCTTTGCCTTGCACTGTGGGCACTCGTACGAGACGCATACACGGCCGTCTTGGACCTCCGTCGCAACGGCTTTCGTGCAGGCGAAGCAGCGAGCGTGCGCGGGATCGCAGGCGGGACTTGCTCTGCGGTTGTGCAGGCCGCCGCCCGGTGCCAGCTCTCTCGGTGCCCCCGTTTCGCTGTTCGTGCCCACGCCGCACGCCGCGCACGCCCGACACCCGTCTTTTGTTGCTGCCGGCACCTGGGCTCGGCACCGTGCGCCGGTGCTGCTGCCTTGCTTTTGCCGTTTCTCGATTTCGGCCCGCACCTCCTGTAGGATTTGCTGCCGTTTCCTGCTGCGGTCTGCAGCACGCACTGTCTCTTGTCGGTTGTGCAGCCTGCGACGCGCACGGAGGCCAATGTCCCGGCACTGCAACTTCTGGCGGCAGACGTTACATGTCCGGTCCCGCTTCTGGCGCCAGCCATTGGGCGTGAAGGCCGCCTGCGGAAACCAGTGCGCACAAGCTCCACATTGCCGCTTCTCCAGGCACATGAGGCAAGTGCTTTGCCAGATCAAATAATTGCTGATTTTGCCCGGAAACGCCTCTGGGGCTTGCCATCGCTTGCAGCGCTTACAGCGATACGGCGTGCCGCGTTCGCGGTAGGACTTTGTGCACTCTTTGCAGATTGCTGCTCCGTCCGGCTGCTTCCATTGTCCCTGCGTAAACGCTGACTTCAGCCGCTCTGTTCGGCACTCGCTGCAGGTCTTGACACGCACGTACCTCTGCACGATGGCATCCCAGTTGACGTCATGCGTGCGCAAGTGCTGCATCAGCAACGCTCGGAAGCTGGTGTCGCCTTGCTGGAATGGAGCCGCATCGAAGGGCCGCAGAATGAGAACGCCTTCCCGGCTCGTGACCCGCGTCAAGGCAACGTAGGCGGCCAAGACGTTGCTGTACGCGCCATAACACAGATCTGCGACGATGCCCTCCTCCAGCGTCTGTCCTTGCGCCTGATGCGCCGTCATAGCGAAAGCTGGTATTAGGGGAAGTTGCCGTCGACGGACTGCCAGCACCGGCGATTTTCGGCCGGCATCCAGATGCCACGTCGCACGCTTTGGCACAACGGGATACACGCCCGTGGCCAGCCCAGTAATTCCAGCAGCACCGATGCTGGACCTGCCACTGCAGCCACTGTCTGCAAATGCATCCTGGCCGAGCACGTGCAGGACGGCGGCGCCAAGGTGGTGATTGTGACGAATCGCTGCAATCTGTTGTTGACCCGCCAGAAAGGATGCAGGCATGGGGACGACTGCAGGTGTTGCCACCTCCATCCTGTATCCAAGAAGGAGAACCAGGCGCGGCCCTCCAAGGGCTACGACAAGAACGAGTACAGTAACAGAGAAGCCTTCCTATGTACTGTACAGCTGATGACCACCGGCGGCTTCACCAGGTCTCACAGCTACAGAGCTTTACATTCCATCTGTTTCCACCAAAAAGCAACGCCTGTTGTGGTTTGGCAGCTAGCACTGAGACCACCGGCGGCTTCACCAGGTGTCAGCTTACATGCTTACTAAGCCTTTACATGCTCCGACTGTAAAATAGAAACCTCCCTATGTTAGCTGATGTCCACCAGAGGCTTCACTAGGTCTGCGCTTACATGCTCGCCAAGTCTGTACAGCTGATGACCACCGGCGGCTTCACCAGGTCTCAGCTAAAGTAAACTTTACTGTCCATTTATTTTCCACCAAAAAGCAACGCCTGCTGTTGGTTAACAGCTAGCACTAAGACCACCGGCGGCTTCACCAGGTCTCAGGCTACCTACATACAGTGCAATGTGCTTTCGTTCCTGCCCGCCTGAAGCTGCCATTAGAGCATTGGGACCAGCCCCTGCCGCAGCAACGTACGGAGCGACGTCCTCCTCCAGCATGCCCCAGATTCCAGCGTTGACGATAGCGACACCAAGTTCCAGCATGCTCTTATCCTGCACAGCCGAAGCCAAGCCATAGCGGCCTCCCAGGTGTCTGTGGGCAGGCACCGCAGCGAACTTTTCATGCACCTTCACCTCGGTCTTTTCGCCCTGCTGGCCCTTCTTCCGCTTCTTTCCTGCAGGCGGTTCTTCTTCCGCAGGGGCCGGAAACTTGGCGTTCAAATCGGACCAGAGGCGGTCGTGCAAGCGCCGGGCAGTCGCGTTGATCCTCCGCCCTCTGTCCATTCCCAACTGCTGGTAAACCCAAGTGTAATCCAGATTTTGGTGCCAGTTTTCGCCCCATGCCTGCTCGGCGGCTTGCAAAATAGGCAGGTACTGGGCGTCGTCCATGGCGAGAACAATGCAAAAAGAAGTGAAACAAACTATGAACTCTGAACACCCGGAACCCTCGTAGGCTGCCAACTTCCCCGACACTTGACCTACATTGGCTGACCGAAAGACTGGTATCTGGCTCACTCACACACATAGGGTCAAGGGAAATTGAGGGTTTAGGGTTTTCAGGGTTCTGAGTTTCGAGGCTTGAGCGTTTGGGCTTTACAGGCCGCGCGTGCATCGGGTAGGGATTATGAACGGTTTCGGGCTTAGGCTTCGGGGTTTTAGTGGGGGTGTAGCCTGGCTTCTTGGAAGTCCGCTGTTCTTGAACCCCCGTCCCCCCCCCCCGCTTCCAAAATCTGGACGGGGCAAAGCACGCGCTCCCAGGAACCTCGCATAACCCAAGAACTCCCCGCGATCTCGGCCTCGTCTGTCATCTTGCCCACAAACCCAAACCCTAAACCCTAAATCCTAAACCCTAAACCCTAAACCGTAAACCCTAAACCCTAATCCCTAAACCCTAGCCTAAACCCTAAACCTTGTCCTGAGCCACCCCTAGACCCTAAACCCTAAACCCTAAAGGGTTTTCGGGCTCCAAGGCTTTGCGCGTTTTCGAGGTTTAAGGAAAGTTTAAGGCTTGGATGCTTTAAGCCTCAGGGCTTGTGCAAGTGTGGTGTGTCGAGCTCTAGGGCGCCTAAGTGCATTGAACGCGAGTTTTCTCGGTTTACAGGGCCTAGGGCTGTGCTGCATAGTTTCGAGGCCTCTCGAGGACTGTGAGGTTTGGGGCTTTAAATGGGCTGCGGGTTCACGCGCGTTCCAAGACCGCGCACCCAGTAAGCCCCAAGCCCCAGCTGAAGGCTATCCTGCTTGAATGGGAAGCTACCCAAAAACCCTAAGCCCCAAAAACCCCGGACCCCTGGGGGGCCTCTGGGGTGTCTCCCACTGCGCGGGCTTGGCCTTGTCCACAAAGTCGACGGAGTTGGCCTAAGGTGGGGTTTAAGTTTAGGTTTTAGGGTTTCGGGTTTAGGGGTTCAAGATTTTGGGTTAAGTGTACTGATACCCTACATTTAGAGGACTTATAAGGCCATACAACTTGACGCGGCGCACGCACAGCCGCTCCCTACATGCGGCGCACGCACTGCCGCTGATGATAGTCGCACATGGAGTTGGTATCCCACTGAGTCCGCGGCCATTTGTCCACCATGGTCTTGTCCACGCGAAAGACTATATATATATATATATATATACATAATCCGCGGCCGGAGCCCACAGTGCCTTGGCCCCCCTTGGAGGGGGTCGGCGGCACTGGCGGTAGCCATTAAATAAAATGTCCCAAAGGCCTATCCAACCCTGAACCCTAAACCCTAAACCCCACACCCGAAACCCCAAACCCTGAGCCCCTAGTATTTTGCGAAACCTCCTGCTGCACCGAGGCTCCAGGACAAGTCTCTGGGCCCGGAAAGCCACGCCTGCACGGGTCGTGCTTTTAGGAGTTTAGGGGTTTAGGGGTTTAGGGGCTTAGGGGTTTAGGGTTTAGGGTTTGGGGTTTGGGGTTTAGGGTTTAGGTTAGGGTTTGGGGCTTGGGGTTTACAAGGCTTGGGGCTTGTAAGGTTTGGGGCTGATAGGTTTCGGCGTTTTCAAAATTCAGAAACTTTTGTCGATTCCGGCAAAAGGCGGGTGTGTCTATGTTCTCGACAATCGGGCTTAGCTTCTAGGATTTCAAAATGAAACAGGATGAGGATCCTCTACCCGAACTGAGTCTAATGTTTTCGTTCGTAAGAGGGCATCGCCAGAAACCTCCCCATAAACTTGTTTTAGAGAGTAGTTATAAGAGTTACCGTTTATCGTGCGATACACCCTTTGTATGAAGGGGTTATATCCCCCTGTATGAACTGTTCAAGGGATTCATAAGGGTCCCATATGTCCCCCCAAAGCAAAACCTTCTAGTGAGTGAGTCTAAGGCCCCCCCCCCCACCCCACCATAACCGTGTTGAAGGGATTATAAGGGTGACCCAACTACTGGGCCAACACACGGCGGGCTGATCCTCTCAGCTCCTGGCGTCCTCTCCACGCAGGTTGACCATCCACCTTGGGCCCGACAGGCTCTCAGGGCTTGGGGCTTCGGGCTCAAGGCAAAAACCATCACAAAGGGCGAACTTGCCAGCAGGTTCTACCGACTTCCACAACTGATCCAACAGCTGATGACCTGAGAGCTTGCTCTTTCGGCACGTATCAGTACATGCTGCTCGTGCTCGAACACAGATGAGTGCAGCACAAAGGTCTTGTTGCTCGTGCTCGAACACCATTGAGTGCAGAACAAGGGTCTTGTTGCTTGTGCTCGAACGCAGTTGAGTGAAGCACGAAGGTCTTGTTGCTCGTTCTGAAACACACTTGAGTGACAGTTGAACGCAGCACACGGGTCTTGTTGCTCGTGCTCGAACACAGTGGAATGTAGCACAAGGGTCACACGAAGACCCCCTGCGGAGTTGAGAAGAAAAACCTAGCGTACCTTCGTCTTCACCACCTCCGGCCCATCCTGCCCCAGCCCTCACCGAGTCCCAACGAAGAGGGACCCCCAGCCGCGGCGCTCATCATGCACACTTGTGCTGTGTCTCCCGTGTCAGCTTTCTCCCAAAAAGGATCAAACGCCCATGAGCGCTTGGACTTGTCGAATGGCAAACCCCAAGCCATCCCCCGTAGTCTGAGGGCAGCGCTCTTCCCAGTTGCTACGCGAGGCGCCAGTCTTGCCTGGGAGTCCCAACGTCCGTTCATCCCGAAACCATGGCGCCACTGATCCTTATGGGGCTTAGTTTAGGCAATTTTTAGGGGTCTTAGAGCACAGCCTGTTTTTACCCTCATTCCGCAGAGTTTACCCAGCCAAGGGCCAAGTATCAAGATTTCGTCCCTCCCGACTACCCGCGCCTGGATCTTCGAAACCTCGCGGCGGCAAGGTCGGGATGACCTCCAGGGATTCGGGCTTCGGGTTCAGGGTCTAGCGTCTAGCGATTGAGGGTTTACAGGTGTAGGATTTCAGGGCTTTGGGCTTAGCAGCGTTCAGCCATTCAGCAGAAGCTACGGATTCTGGGCGTTGGTGAAGCTTTCAAGCCGTCTCATGGGCTGCGGGCGTTGGAAGGGATTAAGAGCCTCTAGGGCCGCAAAGGAGAGATCCGTCTAAGAAGTGGAAATGTAGCCAAGAGCACACGGCACACGCAATGCGCTCCCAAGCAAGCAAGCGCGAGCCTGTTGGGTAGTGGCCTGGGCACAGTGAGGTGATCAGGGTTCAGACTGACAGGGTCGGCCCTCTCTCGAGACCGCTCATTCGAGGAGAACCATGAGCAAATGCCGATAGGACGAACCTGTTCAGTGACAGCATGAGATGGTTGCACATCGCAATTGGCTGAGAGCACATTTCCAATGACTCAACGTGATTGTGTGTGTGTGTGTTTGTTTTTTGTACCTCTTTCCGCTTGTCAGAGATGTGGGGCCATCCCGGATGCCAAGCTCGAGGATGTGCGGATCAGAAACAGAACTGGCAAGCTCCAGGACCGGGAATCGTCGGTCCCTCTTCAAGCTTGCTTCTTAGGGGCTGTGAAACAATCGTCTACTTGAGGCACAGAAGCTCGATGGCGCCGATGCGCCCGAGTCCTTCAAAATGCTCAAAAATGGGGCCCTGTAGGCTGTGCCTCAGAGTCCTGTTGCAGAGACTTCTCGCTCTGAGTTCGGCGAGCGTCTGCTGTACTCTTGATGTGCCGAAACCTTAGTGCAGCAGACCGGAGGTCTCTAATCGTCTCACGTCGTTTGCTTCCTTCTCTTGCAGCATCGGCACGGGTGGTGCGCGGTTCTCTCCCCCACCATCGCTGAAAAAGGTTTAGGGTTTGGGGTTTAGGGTTTAGGGTTTCGGGTTGAGGGTAAACTTCTCCCCTTCGCCCCACTCCAACTGAAGAAACCAGGAGTCTCAGGAGTAGCGGGTTTTACACCACAAAGTTGAATCAAGACCTCAAAAGGGTGAAAAGGTCACCATATCCCTAAACCCTAAACCCTAAACCCTAAACCCGGCATGGAAGCTTGGACTTTTCGAAGGCCAGCTGGACGTTGTTGGACGCGGCGGCAGCGACGGCCTCACTCTGATGCAGCGGAGCAAGGCGCAGGTGTAGATGCATACCCTAAGGCCCTACTATTGAGGGTTTAGGGTTTACGGTTTAGGGTTTGGGGTTTGGGGTTTAGGGTTTAGGGTTTAGGGTTTGCTGTGATAGGGCGTAGATGTTGTGAATCTTAAGTGTTTTGGAACAAGCTCGAAAGCTTCGTGAGGCGCGAAGAGCAGCTTTGGCCCGATTGTGGAAGGCCATCCAACATTTTCTCCCACCCCACGCCGTCCGAGGCGGCAAAGCCACCCAAACCTATTCCTTTTAGGGTTTAGGCCTAAACTCAAGCCAACTGCTTACTTCCATAAAACTTCTTCATTCCGTCACGGTGGTCGCCAGCCCGGTTCAGGTTCACAAGAACCACGGGGCAGAAAGGCCCAGAGGGCCTGGGCAACCAGCGCAAAGGCGTCAGGGGAGCTGGCCAGCAGGGAGCGGGCAGGAGCAGGGGGGCAGGGGAGGGGGCAGGAGGGCCAGGTAGGTGGGGCGCCGGGACCAGGTATTTGGGGGTAATACCCTAACACCCTGGCACCGTAATACCCCAACACCCTAATACCCTAACACAGATTATCCTGCTACCCGTATACCCTCATGCCTTAACACCCTTACGAATCTATGAATACCCAAACACCCTAACACCCCAACACCCTAACACCCCAACACCCCAACACCCTAACACCCTCAACCCTAAACCCTAACCTGCCCTAATCCCTCTTGTCCTTCTCGGCATCACCGTTCAGAAGTGGAGTCGATTCGGATCGTAAGGAAGACAAGACCTCCTCGAAGAGTACCTGCATGGGTTTGGGGTTTGGGGTTTGGGGTTTGGGGGTTGGGGTTTGGGCTTAGGGTTTAGGGTTTAGGGTTTAGGGTTTAGGGTTTAGGGTTTAGGGTTTAGGGTTTAGGGTTTAGGGTTTAGGGTTTAGGGTTTAGGGTTTAGGGTTTAGGGTTTAGGGTTTAGGGTTTAGGGTTAGGGCTTAGGGTTTAGGGTTTAGGGTTTAGGGTTTACCCTAAACACTAAACCCTAAACCCTAAACGCTTGCCTCCAGTTTCGTCTCCAAGCGCCAAACATCCAGGGCCTTCGCGCCGCCGCGTAGGCGGGAGGCACCTTCCAGGGGCGTGAAGGGTTAGGGTTTAGGGTTTAGAGTTTGGGCTTTGGGGTTTAGGGTTTAGGGTTTAGGGTTTGGGGTTTAGGGCTTGGGGTTTAGGGTTTAGGGTTTAGGTTTTAGGGCTTAGGGTTCCTGGCTTTCTTATGCCAGGAGCCTCTTGAGGTTGCGGTCGTGGGCTTCAGGGTTGGTTCAAGGCGCCCATGTCCTAGTAACGCCCTAGCCGGGCCATGTCAAGACTAAGGGCCCACATAGGTCAAGAACATCGCCAGCCTTCGATAAATTCCATCAAAGTAATTTCCTTGGAATGGTTTTGGGTTCAAGGCTCACGGTTTAGGGCTTAGGGTTTTGGGTTGCTGTTCATCATCCCGTCCGATCTTCGCCGCTGTGGGCAAGGCGTAGGCTTCAGACGCTGCTGAGACGGGGAAAAAAAACTTCTGCCCCATGCTGCGGCCGAGCAACTCCATCCCCGTTGTCGAGAAATTCGAACAAACTCATCAGGTCGTGGTACTCCAGCCTCATTGTCATATGTTTTTTCAAGAGACTTTTGGAAGCCGCTTGTTAGCCAGGTTCATGGCTGCTCGTTACGAATCCTGCTTGGAAGGAAGGCTTCCAGAGCTGAGTAAGGACAGTCCAATAGCCGAAGCTCAGCAACACGGAAAGGACAGGATCCAAAACGTTCCTTAAGGTTACTCCTTTGTTTCTTGTGAAGGCCCGTGATGAAACAGAATCAGCAAGAACCACGAGCACAGCCAGCTGCATAACCACATGGGTTTTTTCATACGATGTCTTGCTGAGGTGCCTGAGAGGAAGCTACAACACCGAAGACATGTCAAAACTCAAAACTGCAGCCTGACCAAGCCCAAGCACTCCAGCTGGCTCATCCAGAACTTCAATTTTGGCGATTGAACCAGCTTGGCAAACTCATGCAGATTTATAGTCCCATCACCTGAAAGATCGATCGTCTGGAAGAGCTTTTTCACCTTGCGGGTGTACATAGCCACCTCAAGCAGCAATGCCATTCGCAAATCAACCTACAGCAAAAGCACACAACGTAGACCGACATCACGCATGGCTCATGTGCTGATGATGCGGCCACGTCACATCCTTCTCCTTCTGTTTAAAGGCAAGATCTTCATCCGAGCTGGCAGTCTTCATAGTCTGTTGCACAAAGACAGCATTGACAACATTTAACACGGCGAATCCTAAGACACACCGGTAGATCAAGAAAAAAATCGAAAACCATTCACCTCAGCTGCCGGCGCATGCTGATTCAATGTGAACTGAAGGGTGGCGGTTCTTTCTATTTCTATGCGCCAGCTGCAGAGATCAAAAACGATTGCACATTCTTGACTTCATTGGAACGAGGTGCTGTAGTTTTCCACGAGCACTCGTGCAGGCGGACTCCAATTTGCGAACAATATCTCAAACATCGTAAGAAAGGTGCGCGTGAAGGTGCCGTAGTAGCCTGGAGAACGTATCAGACAGGCCACACCAACACCGCATAGAGCGATGTTTCCTGAATAATCCCATCCCCATGCTCAAATCAAGCTGCCGAGAGGAAGCCTAAATCTATCAAGAGTAAGAAGAGCAAGCTCTGCTGCTTGCAACCAAGATGCGAAACACACCCTCCCTCCAAGCGTGGTCATAGCTCTCATCCGTAACGAAATCACGGCACAGTGTGCCTGTGCAGGACTGCAAGTCTAAACTGACATCACCCGTATCTGCGGCGCTTGCCCGGGAAACTCGCTTTTTGGGTCTGGGTTTCGGGGGAAGGTGTACCGTGCGCTTGTTGACGCTTGCTTGTCCATTGTTTGGGTTGTGGTGGGGCGGGAGGTATCTAACTATGCGTGGTTGCTGACGCGCTCTCCTTCACTGCGTTCCGCCTCAGTCGTCAGTCGTCCGCTAAGCCGCTAAGCTTAGCCAGGAAGCTGCTTCGAAATTTTAGTGGAGGAGATGTTGTCTTCCAACTGCGGTCTGTGCGCGACGGCCACTGCTGCCACAGCTTCAAGACCTGCCTCTCACTGGGCTGTAGACTGACGAAGCATGAATGCGGTCCCGATGCCTTGCGAACATTTCTGCCAGAACTTGTTGGCCCAGCGAGAACTTGTTGGCCCAGCGGGCCCTTCGTGTGCGTTGAGCACAACTGCGCGAGCTGTAGAGACTCATAATCCCAGGTCCTGTGGGTGGTGGGCATGTCACCACAGTCAACTTCACTCAGCCCCAGCATGCCCCAACAGTTTAAAAACTCGTTCCCAACAGCCAGCCGATGTCTGTCGCTCCCTGGGAGGCGAAGCCAACAGCACTTGCATTTCTTCACAATCCAGAAAGTTCATGGCTTGCACTCTGTACCCTCAGGACGTGCTGCGTCAGCGAGCCTTCCCACCTGCGGCGAAATCATTAACACCTCCACTTTGCACTTTGTCAAGTCTGTTCGGCGGAAGCCAAGAACAAGAGAGAAATGTGTGTCCATCGAGGCTGTGGGCTACAACACCTACAGTCCAGGAACAGCGCGAACCAAGCCGCCAGAAACCCAAGCGCCAAGAACCGAAAACCGGAACCGCTTCGACCACGAACTGTCAGCTAGGCAAAACTGCTCTTGTGAGAACCACATTCTTCCAAAGCCATGATCCGTTGGAATTTCGGCCCCGCAGCTGCGGCCAGCTGCCCAGATTCAGTTCAAAGCCACAAACAATTTCGGGCCTCCTTTAAACTATCGTAAACCGGCCTTCAAACAGTCAAGCTGTTGCAGGAGGCATGACTAGAAACGGGGGTTCTGATCTGCACAAGCCGAAAGCAAAGTTTTCGGGCAGGGGGGCCGACAAAATCGGCCAGGGGCCGGCAAGAAACGCGAGGGATGCGGGTAGAACTTGAGATCAACATTTCTGGCCCCATGCAGTGGTCGAGACATCCCTGCTGTGCAGCCTTCAAGCACGAAACAAGGTCAGAATGAATTTCACCCAGGTGCTGACGATCATGCCGAAGACGCATTGAACGAACGTCAACAGGCAAAAGCTCCAAAAGAGCATATTCCTCGGTGGGCACGTACCATGTCAATTTTGCAACAGCATGCCTCCCACCTTGGACCCATCAAGCTCAAACCGCAAAGTTTGAAGCCGCACAGGGCATGAGCATGTCGATGCCCAATGTGGGGTTGGGAAATGGACCCTGAACCCTGAACTCAGAACCCTGACACACCCCCCCCCAAAAAAAAAAATAATAAATAAATAACAAATAGACACAATAAAAAACAAAAGAACAAAAGAGAGAGAGAGAAAGACAGAGAAAGGGAAGAGGGAAGAGGGAAGAGGGAAGAGGGAAGAGGGAAGAGGGAAGAGGGAAGAGGGAAGAGGGAAGAGGGAAGAGGGAAGAGGGAAGAGGGAAGAGGGAAGAGGGAAGAGGGAAGAGGGAAGAGGGAAGAGGGAAGAGGGAAGAGGGAAGAGGGAAGAGGGAAGAGGGAAGAGGGAAGAGGGAAGAGGGACCCCTCACAGTACAAAGGAAACGAGTCCTGAAGTGCCTCGAGGGCTCATGCTGGCAGCCAAGCACCTGCAAGCGCTTTCAGAGATTTCGGGTTTCGGGTCTTATTTAAGCCCTGAACCCCCAACCCTATTTAAGGCTTACTCCACCCCCCCCCCTTTCTTTTAAGGCTCACGCTCCTGAGAGCTCGACTACACCACTGCAAGATTTCGGGTTTTGGGCTCCGCCTTCAGGCTTTTTGGCCTGCAACACGCATTGCGCGGGCTATTCTCAATGTCGGGCGTGGCACTTGCAACGGCTTAGGGCCATAGGGAGAATTATAATCATCCTAGCAATAATGACAATGAGCCAACGATGACATCAGCTGCGGCGCTTGATGAGCAGCTGCAGGGACGCGAGCACGTTGCCTGAGGGACTTGGCGCGGGAGATGGAGCGACTTCACCCTTGAAATCGCGCGAGTGACTTCGCTACCCCGCACAAAGAGTGGGTTGCTATCCACTTGACTGAGCTTTGGAAGGACTTGGGGTTTAGGGTCTCATCCGAGGAGCTCATTGTAACCATGCGGATGGCTCTTGCCAGTTTGCCGATACGCAGAAGACGGAAGAGGACCGGGCTCACAGGTAGTCGGAGCATGTGAGACAAACTGATCTCGATCAAGGAGGTGGCCTTGGTTTCGTTTTATTTGAGGCTTAATATAGGGGCCTGAAAAATTAGAATGGGGTTTTGGGGGTTATTCTTGTATAAATACAAAGGGACCAGCATGGCTAAGACTGTGTCAAGCAACGCTGACTGCCACATCGATGTAGTTCATCCACACGGTCCAAAACTGCAGGCGCAGAACGACGATGCGAACAGAGACATCCAAAGCGAACATGCCCGCAAACGTCCTGTGATGCTGTGATGGGAAGGGTGTCAACAAAAGGAGCCAAAAAAACTCAACCCTTAGCCATGAGAAAAACCCCAAACCCTAAACCCTAAACCCTTAACCCTCAACCCTCAACCCTAAACCCTAAACCCTAAACCCTACACCCTAAGCCCATACATCTTCTTTCTGTCGAGGCGTCATGTCGCCAACGAAAAAGACCTCATCCCACATCGGCATCGCTTCGGGGCGCACTAGCGGCTCGTCCGACACGCCAATGAGCCACCTGGTGGTTTCCAAACATTCAGGGGTACCCTTTGGGTTTAAGGTTTAGGAAACATTCAGGGGTACCCTTTGGGTTTAAGGTTTAGGAATTAGGGCTTAGGGTTTAGGAATTCGGGTGTTTGAGAGTTTTTTTTGAGGTGGAATGTGCCCACTGTGTTTTTGGAGGTTTGGGATTTGGGGTTTCGTGTCAAAGTCTAGTGTGCCCTCAGACGTCTTCCCAGAACCCTAGATATACTCTAAACCCTAAACCTTGGGATGTTCCCCCTTGTACGAACAGTCCTTCATTGGGGGACTAAGCACCCCCCCCCCCCCCCCCACCCACCCTATTATGATCCCCATGAAGGACTGTTAGCATTAAAGGATAAAAGGGGGAAGATGCTAAGTCGCCCAGCGGCCCCGACTCGCTGCCGTGGACCTGCAGCTCGAAGGCCATCCACAAGACGTTCAGTAGCAGAACTGAAGCCATGAGCATCTCCTTAGCGCTGGGCCTTGAGGGTGTAGGCTTTAAGCAGATTGGGGGCTACCGGGCGTTTAGGGTATTGGCTGTTAGGAGTTGGGTTTTCCAGGCCGTGCGCATCTCCTTAGGTCCGTCTTCGAGCGGTTGCGATGCTGCTGCCCGGGTTTGGCGAGGATTGTAGGTGACTGTTGCCGAGTAAACCTGATTTCGTTGCAGGCCCTTTACACGTGAGACCTCGGGACTCCAGTTCGCTGAAGTAATGCCGTGTTTATTCTGGATGCGTGTTTCCAATGAGCCTCCCTTTTCGCAACGCACACATGTGCATCATCATGATCTACTTTTTTTCTTATTCTTCTCGTTGTTCATCATCCGCATAATCATCATATCATCATATCATCATATCATCATATCATCATATCATCATATCATCATATCATCATATCATCATATCATCATATCATCATATCATCATATCATCATATCATCATCATCATCATCATATCATTGCGTCATCATATCATCATATCATTGCGTCATCATATCATCATCATATCATATCATATCATATCATATCATATCATATCATATCATATCATATCATATCATATCATATCATATCCTCATCATCATATCATCATATCATCATATCATCATATCATCATATCATCATATCATCATATCATCATCATCATCATCATCATCATCATCATCATCATCATCATCATCATCGTATCATCATCATTATCATCATCATCATCATCGTCATCGTATCATCATCATTATCATCATCATCATCATCATCATCATCATCATCATTCGCAAGTGTGCGTAATACCTCTCCGGCTTCAATGTAAAGCACTATTTCGGATCCGCAAAGCTCCCGATCTCGACAAGGCGTTGCAGGTGCCCCAGACACAACAAGCTGGTGATGCCAGGGTATGGGGTCTGGCCAATTCACAGGTTGCAATCAAATATTTTTGTGATTATTTGTGTTATTAATATGATTACTACTATTTGATCTACTATGATTATTACTACCACTACTATTATGATTCAAAATTATGATTGTTATTGTTGATTTTTCGCTGTTTTGGGCCGCTATCCTGCGATCACCTTCTCTGTGCAATCCCGAAAGCCCCAAATTCAATCTTCGTCATGTGCAACATAGTTTGGATGAGACAACTTGGGCAGGGCAGTCTCTCGCTGGATAGAAACACACAGAGACAGACAGACAGACACGCAGAGCCGCAGACCCGCAGACACGCAGACACGCAGACACGCAGACACCCCCACACCCCCGCACCCCCACACCCCGACACCCACACACCCACACACCCACACACCCACCCATACACCCACACACACTCACCCACACACTCACCCACACACACTCACCCACACACACTCACCCACCCACTCACCCACACAGACACACACACACACACACACTCACACACACACACACACACACAAGAGCCGTTCAGGTCTGTCTGGAGCTCAGGCGACTTTTCAAGCCGAGACTCGTATTGGTTAGACTGAAGCCAGTCACGCAGCTTCTCTATTCTCGATTTGCGGCTGTATTCATAAGCCAGAACAGAACTAGTCTTGGACTCCTCTGAGACGTTGTCGAGAAGTGCTTTGGATACACCGGAGCTGGATTTGCCTTTGAAAAACTTTTCGACATCTGCTTCGGCAGACTCGTCCGCCTCCCAGACACCAAGCAGCTCGCTGGCATGAAGTTCGGGTCCTTGCGACGTGCGCCTCTTTCGCTTCCCGGTATTCAACGCCGGGGACCCGGCGGTGGGCGACCCAGCTCTGTGCGCGCTCTCTGTAGGCGAGTTGCCGGATCGGCATGATCGGCCGGAGCTCCTGTCCCAAGAGGCTTCCCAAGAGGCTTCCTTTCCAACCTCCGTGTCTGGAGCTGGGCCCGTTCGACGCAGGGCTTCCAGCTCGAGCTCCACCCGCGACACCTCGCGCATATGCTGCTGCAGAAGCTCCTCGAGCAACCTGCGGAACTCCTGCGACAAGTACTGCTCTGGGCCCCCATCCTCAGGAAAAAGCAACGATGTCCGCGCTGAGCAGCTCTCCGTGGGCTCCGTGGGCTCCGCATGGCGGATCACGAGTATTGCTGGCACGTCGTCATTGTCGATGTGTGGTTCCCGTGGCTTAACTGTCCTGACGTCCTTGGCTGCGAAAAGGGAAGAAGGGAAGAAGGGAACTGGCATCAGAGGGACCCTGTCAGAATCCACAATCCTGAGGCAGCAGTCCCCCCCCCCCAAAAGGGAGCCCTGAAAAATGCTTCGCGCGGCTCACCTCCCCCTGAAAACCCTTAACCCCAAATCCCAAACCCGAAACCCTAAATCGCTTGGCTTGGCTGGGGGTTGGAAGGTGGAACGGCTTGGCTCCTTTTGTGTCCTGAGATTGGCTTGGCCCCCTGTTCTTTCCTAGCAGTTCTGGTTCCTAGGAGCAGCCGGGCGTGGCCCCAAGTCTGTTCCCCCGGTGCGGCCGTGCAAGCTTGCTTTGAAGAACGTCATGCCGTCAGGAGGAAGTGCTTCAAAACACATATGAATCTCAAAGCCCATTATCATAAGACCCCTGTGTTCGCTAGCTGCGCCAAGACGCACCAAGGTGAGGCCCAAACCCCAAAGCCTAAAATCCCCAGCTGCACCCGAACTCGTATGTGCCGGCATCGAGTTACCGGAAGTCGCTGGAAACCATGAACAACACCATCTGCATCAAGTGCTCCCTCAGGGCAGCGTTTGGGGTGTCTATGCACCAGCATCCACGCAGCCCTTGGGTAATATCCCCCTGCCTGTGGGAGGTGGTTGCGGTTACAGTTTAGGGTCAGGGAGATAGGGTCGCGCCCCGCCCCCCCCCCCACCGCCCCCAGGGTGTTGCTTGGGCTTAATGGGGCTGCCCCTCCTTTCTGTGGGGGCAGGGTTTCTTGTTCTCGGGTCTCATCAGGGTCTCAGAATCCCATATACATGTTAGATCAATCTTCAACAGCCGCAACCCTGAAACCCTCAACCTACTCTGCACATCGGCACCGATAATTCTCCCCTGGGCCTCCATCGCCTTGGGCGAGGGGCCCCCCCCTGCAGTTTTTTGTGAGCTCTTGGTGGTCTCACGGCTGCGGCATGTCGTGGTTCAGAGGTGCAAACCTGTACTCAAGACAAAGTGCCCAAGAACGCCAGCATCTTCTGTGTTCCGACCCAGAACTGGCACAGTCGCAAGGGCTCCGACCAGGCTGGATTTTGGTCTGGAGGCCTTTCCGCACTTGAAGGCACTTGAAGGAGGGGAGGTCGGCAACCGTGGGCTTGCGTCGTCTTTGGAGGTTGTGCTGCAAGGCGTGATAAGGGGCCAAGGATTGGGGCATGGCAACTTGAGCAGGCGCTTAGCGCTTAGGGTAGGTAGGAGCAGGGCCTCAAGCCTCAATCTGAAAAAACAAGTCAGATGAATGCAGACGCAGCTTAACCGGACTTCCGGTGACGGGGCCCTGCTGAAGCATCTTTCACAAAACCGCTGTTTGGAGGGCCAATACAGTAGCTGCTACCCCTCTCAGCTGCCCTCAGCCGCGAGCTAGACCCTGAACCCTTAAACCTCAGCGCCCGGCTGCAATCAGCCCACGGAATGCACGTGCCGCGCTGCGTCGGCCCACCCTGCTACAGTGCTACAGAGGCCCTCATACGGCGGCACCAAGCAGCACGCTCACTGGACGCAAGATCGCCACCCTAAACCCCCCCCAACAAACTGGAAAAAAAAAGTACAACTATCAAGCCCGGCCTTCGCATAGTTTGCTCTCCAAGTCGCAACATGTCTCACCTGAGACAGAACAGCGAATGTAGGGGCCTAGCTAACTAGAAAGGCTATTTTTGGGCTTCTTCTGCTGTGAGTTTGTTCACATAAGGCACACAATCAGGCACCATCGGTTCAGTCGGTTCGGCTCCGGTGCCAGCTGAGGGCGCCGACTCCTGATCCCGGTCCGGGTCATGACACGATTCAGGTTTTGGGTGTACCGTAGGGGCCTTAATTTTAGAATAGGGTTTTGGGGGGTTCACCAATACTAAATTTACTAAATCAGGTCACATACCCGAGCAGAAGGTGGTCTGAGCTCCCAGCAAAAATGTCAGAGCCGTTCCCAAGTGTCCTTCCCACCTACCAAGTTGAGCCTTCTGTCGGCCATACGGGAGATGCTGCGGCCTAGGGTATGAGGGATAGAGGGAGAGGCTTCGAATCAGAGGCGCTAGACCAACAGCCCAAACTATTTCTCTGCATGTCACGCGCTGTTTCACTTCTGCGGGCCTTGGGGTGTTCGTTTCTTTCGCACAATGAAAAATATTCGCGCGTCCGTGAACTTTCTTGCAATATTATGAGTAGTGTTCTCTTCCCTCTATGAACAAACGTCGCGTGGAAACCAAGACACGTGACATGACATCCAAAACTTGGTTCGACCGCTAGAATCTTATCCACACCGTGTCTTTGCTTCGATCCCAACCTCGCGTGACAACCTTATTCTGGGGTCTTTGTGGCAGTCACTCGCTCAAAAAGGAACACATGGTTGCTACTGCCTTTTGCTCCCCTTGGGTCTTTCATGTTTCACGACTCCCGACTAAAGCCCTCGCCAGGAATGAGCTTCGTGATGTCGAAGGCCACATGCCAGGAAGTGCACACACACACACACACACATTGCTCCGTTTTCTGTGCACGCACGAATTCGGAGACGGAGACTGCCTCTTAAATTGGCAAAGAGCACTACTGTGGGCTCTTCTTAAGGAACTAAAGATAAGCCACCCGAAAAAGGGTCAATAAGGGTATTCATATTCAAAAGCCCCCGAGTATGGTATGTTGCTTCTCTACGTTCCTTAAAAAGAGCCCAGACTAGGATCTCTGGAGGGCACACGGCCCCCGAGCCCCTCGAGTCGCGAGGTCTCCGCGAACTTAGGGTGTCGAGTAGCACCCCGCACCCCCGAGTCCCCCTTATGCCTTATGGTTCCCTGAACCCAAAACCTTTTTTTACCCCTAAGAACCCCAAATGTCCCTAAATGTCCGGCTGATGGCTCCAAGGGTTCGGAAGCCCTGGGGCGCCCAAGAAGTCGGCAGAATCCAAGTGGCAGCGCCCTCTTTTATCGGATCAAGTGTGCAACATAAGCCCTAAAAACACACCAGAATGGCAGCCTCAAGTCCACACATCCGCCAAGCCCCAGAGCACCCTTCGGCCGCAGTAAACAGTTGAGCCGTCACGGGGGTCGGAGGACAAAATCCTCGCGGTCCTGATCACGAAACGATAAGTCCGAAAGTTAAACATCCCCAAAGAACGTCCCCAAGCCCTGAAGCCCTCCGAAACCCTGAAGCCCTTAAAACCTCTAAAACTCAAGCCTGAACCTTGAAACCCACCAAACGCCACAACCCGTTGGCCTTCCAGGCTTTGGGAAGCGAGGCGTTGGGGCTTTCAGGGGTCCTCTAGGGTCTTAAGGGGACCAAGGTGTGCTTACCCCCGCCTCAACCCGGCACCTAAACGGATTCAGAGAGGGGGGACCTCCGGGTGTTGGAGTTTAGGGTGGCCGTAATGACACTCCCTAAATTGAAGGGTTTAGGGTTTAGGGTTTAGGGTTTGGGGTTTGGGGTTTAGGGTTTAGGGTTTAGGGTTTAGGGTTTAGGGTTTAGGGTTTAGGGTTTAGGGTTTAGGGTTTAGCTTCAACCTGCGCCGCGATGGCTGAGCACAGCGATCTGAGCTGCGCAGAACCGAAACGGAAACGATCATGCCTGGGAGCCTAACCTGGCCAGCAAAGCATTGGGTACCAAAACCTCGAACCCTAAACCCTAAACCCTAAACCCTAAACCCTAAACCCTAAAACCTGTTGGCTTAGCTCTGGGCCATGGAGATGGAAGGCCCACCTTTCCAGGCTTGGGCACAGTATTCAGCCACCGCAAGACATCTACATCAAAACAAGTACCGCGTGGTGTAGGGTTTCGAGTTTAGGGTTTAGGGTCTGGGGGTTTGGGGTTTGGGGTTGAGAGTTTAGGGTTTAGGGTCTAGGGTTTGGGGTTTGGGGTTTGGGGTTGAGGTTTTAGGGTTTAGGGTTTGGGGTTTCGACCCGGGAGAGCACAACGTGTCCAGTGCCCAGGGTGTCACTGGGGCTCAGGCGGAGGCGCACTCCTTGAGAGTAGCGCTTGGCTTGGCGTCGAATGCTGTCAACTTCCTCCTGGAACACGGGGGTTTCCGAAGTCATGGGGGTGCCTTGTTGCGGTCAATAGAATAAAAGGGAATCCTACTATTTGGGGGACTATATTGGGGGTCCCTTACCCCCACACACACATGAAATCTGGACCTCAACAAACCCTAAACCCTCAACCCTAAACCCTAAGCCCTAAGCCCTAAACCCTAAACCCTAAACCCTATAAACCCTAAACCCTAAACCCTAAACCCCATCGGAGTTTTGGGGTAGTGTGGACCAAAGCCGATGCCGACGCAAGGGAAAAAAGAGCTGAGGAACCAGAGGGCTGCCTGCCATCTCCTTTCCGCCTCAGACATGGCCGCATCCTCAGCACGCCGGGCCTGTTGAGGGTTTAGGGTTTAGGGTTTAGGGTTTAGGGTTTAGGGTTTAGGGTTTGGGGTTTAGGGTTTAGGGTTTAGGGTTTAGGGTTTAGGGTTTAGGGTTTAGGGCTTTGGAGACACTTGAGGAAACGTACAAGGTTTGGGTTTTGGGGTTTGGGGGTTTTGGGGCCTAGGGTTTAGGATGTAAGGTTTGGGGTCAGGGTTTCGGGTTTGGGGTTTAGGGTTCCAGGCTTTTGCGGTACATTTAATGGATGCCTCTTAGGGGCTTACTTGGAGGTTCATGGGTCCTTATTGCGTCTACGGTTACAATACTCAAACCCCTCAGCCCCCTGAGTCCATCCCACGAACCCTTAGACCCTAGAGCCCCAAGATGGCCAGTGGCTTCATATTCCTCATGCGGGGGCTTTAGGGCTTAGAGTTCTAGGCTCCCAGTAATGTCCCAGCAGACCCACCAATGCATGGAGCAGAAACATGAAACTTCGCCATCCAATCCCCTGAAAATCGGAACCGTAGCGCTAGATGAGAAGCTTGGAAGCCGTGAAGTTAGACTTCAACCCACAGACCGGCCTCATTCAGCTGAGTGCCCGTGAGCCTCTGATGGCGGTTCTAAATTCTAGTCATTTCGCACCCCTCATCTTGGGATGCTCCCCCTTATACTACCAGTATAGAAGCCCTAGTATAGTCCCTATCAAGGACTGTTGGTCCCAACATCCTTCACAGGAAGCGAAAGGCCCAAGATCCCTACAAAAACAACAAACTCACCCTATCGTGCCTTTTGGGCTTCGGGCTTGAAAGCCCAAACACTACACCCTTAGACCCTAGACTCGAGACGCTGGGCGTTGAGGTTGCGAGCTTGGGTCTTGGCGGCTTCAAAAAGATTGAGGGTTCGGAGTTGAGGGCTTTCGGGCTTTCGAGCGTGCTCCGGCCTTGAAGACACTGTGGCCACTGAACTGCTCTTACCTTCACATCTCCACAAGGGACAGCAGTACTGCAGATGGGGTACCGTGCAGTGTCCGAGCTGTTTCAACGGGGGAGGGAGGGGGAGGGGTCTGCGAAATAATCAGTCCTTCAGGGTCCTGATTATATATATATATATATATGCTACCCCCCCCCCCCCATGCGCCCACGCTTCAGCATGGTTTCCAGACAAAAATACTACGTTCCGCCACCCGCGGTGGTTTTTAAAGCGGGGAGGAACTCCCATAAAACTCCAGCAGAAGTGACCTGAACAATTTGCTCGAGATTGTGGATTGCATGCTATGAGTTTAAATAGAAATCCTATGCATGTGAATAGCGTTCCTATCAAATTAAATTGGGTTCATAGGATTCATCTTGTTTCAATAGGAATCTTATAAAAATGAAAAGGAAACCCATTAATAGGAATGAGAACCCTTAATTCTATTAAATTCTATGGGAACCCTCTTCAAATGACAGAATCCTATTTAAAATTGCTAGGAATCATATTACATTTGTAGGAGCCTTATTAAAATAATTCGGCAAACTATGGAAATGTATTGGGATCTTATACGCAGACAAACAGGAATCCTCTATTTCAATCCATAGGAACCCTAGAAAAAGTAGAACCGAATTATACTTGATAGCAATCCTAATAAACTGAAGAGGGCCCCTACTAAAATTAATAGGAACCAATGGGACTCCTATAAAAAACAAGTGTGAACCCCTAAATAGTAGGAATCCTACTAAAATTAATATGAGCCTAAACCAATCGGTATCCCTTTCAAACGAATGAGATCCCTATTAAAATAAATACGAATCCCATTAACATGAATAAGCATCTGATTAAACTTGATAGGAATTTGATTACATGAGTAGGAGCCTTATTAAAAGAATTAGGAACCCTATGAAACTTTATTGGAATCCTATAAAAATAAATAGGAATCCTCTATTGACTCATAGGAATCCTGCCAATATTATTTCGGAACCGGTGAAAGTTAATAGGAAGCCTATGAAAATGAATAGGAACCCTTACCAAATTGAAAAGAACCGGTTATAATTCATAGGAAGCCTTTTAAAATGAGAAGGAACCTTGCTAAATAAATAGGAACCAATCGGACTCCTGTATAAAATAATATGAATCGGCTTAACAGATTGGTTTTTTTGGGACAGTACAGCGTTTTTGCAGTCCCAGGCCTCGAAAGTGCTGTACTGTCCCAAAAAAACCAATCTTTTCAAGGCAAGAAGTGCAAAAATGCTGTACTGTCCCAAAAAAACCAAAAAAACCAAAGTTTGGAGACCTTGGGCTCCTTCAGGGCCTGGAGGTCTCCAAACTTTGGTTTTTTTGGTTTTTTTGGGACAGTACGGCATTTTTGCTTGTTTTGGCTTACCAAGATTGGTTTTTTTGGGACAGTGCAGCGTTTTTGCAGTCCCAGGCCTCGAAAGTGCTGTACTGTCCCAAAAAAACCAATCTTTTTAAGGCAAGAAGTGCAAAAATGCTGTACTGTCCCAAAAAAACCCAAAAAAACCAAAGTTTGGAGACCTTGGGCTCCTTCAGGGCCTGGAGGTCTCCAAACTTTGGTTTTTTTGGTTTTTTTGGGACAGTACGGCATTTTTGCTTGTTTTGGCTTACAAAGATTGGTTTTTTTGGGACAGTACAGCGTTTTTGCAGTCCCAGGCCTCGAAAGTGCTGTACTGTCCCAAAAAAACCAATCTTTTCAAGGCAAAAAGTGCAAAAATGCTGTACTGTCCCAAAAAAACCAAAAAAACCAAAGTTTGGAGACCTTGGGCTCCTTCAGGGCCTGGAGGTCTCCAAACTTTGGTTTTTTTGGTTTTTTTGGGACAGTACGGCATTTTTGCTTGTTTTGGCTTACAAAGATTGGTTTTTTTTGGACACTGCAGCGTTTTTGCAGTCCCAGGCCTCGAAAGTGCTGTACTGTCCCAAAAAAACCAATCTTTTTAAGGCAAAAAGTGCAAAAATGCTGTACTGTCCCAAAAAAACCAAAAAAACCAAAGTTTGGAGACCTTGGGCTCCTCCAGGGCCTGGAGGTCTCCAAACTTTGGTTTTTTTGGTTTTTTTGGGACAGTACGGCATTTTTGCTTGTTTTTGCTTAAAAAGATTGGTTTTTTTGGGACAGCGTTTTTGCTCTTCTGGGCCTAAAACATTGGTACAGTAGAGCGCTTTCGTGCTCGCTGCCCTCGGAGGCTTCGAAATCCTAAGCCTCTAAACCCTACCATGGCACCTGAGAGGAAAAAGTGTGGGCATATGGGGGGGGGGGTACCATATATATATATAGTTATATAGCCCTAAACCCCCATCTAAACCCTAAACCCTAGGCCCCCTTGCCTGGGCTGCTCGGGAGGGCGGTGCTGCTTCGGCTGGAGGCATAGCTCTTCAGAAGGCCTGGAAGTTTCCAAGAAAATGCGAATGATCATCTTAATCAATAACAATAACAATAACCATAACAATAACAATAACAATAACAATAACAATAACAATAACAATAACAATAACAATAACAATAACAATAACAATAACAATAACAATAACAACAAGAATAATATCAAGAGTGGTTATTTCATGCTTGTACTAGACTGCACATCCTAGTCCGAGCAGCTCATGTTCATCGCGCCCCCACTCGGGGCACCACTCTGGACCTCACTCCTGTGGCAGAGCAAACTGCAAGGCCTCAAGCCTATGCCCCTCAACAAGAGTACTGCATTCAAAAAACCTGCCCCCCATCTCGTTTCCGAAGCCCTCGAAACCCTAAGCCCCAAAACAGCTCAGGGGCAAAGCGGATAGCGCAAGCTCCTCGACGCCTGGGCCGGTTGCAGCCTCAGCCAGTGAGTTTTTTCCCAGGGTTGAGGGCTTCCGGGCTCGGAACCGAAAGCAAGCACGGAGCTCGGCTCTGCGGAGCGGACCTTGCATCGCCGGCGTCGCTGCTTGGCAAGAACCTGCTTTGGCCTCAAGTCACCAGGGAGAGAGTCAACACAAGGCACTGCGCACTTCAACTCGACGAGCAAGCATTGCCGGGACTGGCTCTCGGTCTGAGAAGAGCACCCTGACAACTCGCCTGCACCGGCCCAGTGACCAAACATGAGAGCACCATGCAGCGCATGACAGTCCTCCATGGGAGGTGGGGCCGCCAAAGTAGTCTGGTCCAGCCTCGCAGGTGCCCAATATTCAAGATGAACTGTGTCCACAAGGTGCATAATTACTGGAATTCAAGATGAACTGCGTCCACAAGGTGCATAATGGAAAACAGACATGACATGGCCTCTCCGCGTGCGACGGGGCCTCGTGCAGGCACAACGAACGCAAAGCAAGCAGCAGCCGTCATCCCAAAAACAACACCATCAGTGCAACATGAAGAAGAGGCCAGCCCACAACCCTATCACATAGTAAACAGTGAAAAAAAAAACAAACTCTGAACCTCATTCCAACGTTAGGGAATTGAAGCCGTCGGTTCAGGGTTCAGGACCTAGGTTTCGGGTTCAGGGTTGAGGGTTCAGGGTTCAGGGTTTATAGAATTTATCGGGCTGCAAAGGCGACACTCAGGTATCAAGGTGCTGCAGCATCGATAAGCACAATGTCTTCTCAGTCCAAGCCAGAGTCCCAAAATCCTGCAAAACCCTGCACACGCAAAAACCCTATATCTACCTAAGGGCCTGAAACCCCAAAATCCTAGGCCCTGAACCCCGAAAGCACTAGAATCCTAACCAAGCCCCGAAAAATACCCAGGAATCCTCGATCCCCAACCCTAAACCTTCAAAAAACCGGAAAACCCCTGAACCCCCTAAACCCGAAACCCCAAACCCCAAACCCTAAACCCTAAACCCGAAACCCGAAACCCTGAACCCTAAACCAGGTCTTCGGGCCTCTTGGGCCTGGATCGGGCCGGGGGGGCTTCCTCCGCTACTCTCCTCACGGATCCGCGCCAACCTGCACGCGCTCTTGGAAGGTTTAGGGTTTTGGTTTTGGGGGTTTAGGGTTTTGGTTTTGGGGTTTAGGGTTTTGGTTTTGGGGTTTAGGGTCTGGGGTTGTTTTGGGCTTAGGGCTTAGGGTGGTTGAGGGTCTAGAGTTCTAGGGTTGTCCCTGCAAAGGTGCCCAGGGTGCTTGGGGGGCTCGAAGTTCAAAGCGCACGTGGCAATGCTTTCGGAGCCCATTGCACTCGAAGAGCAACTTCAAAAACCCAAGGGGCTCGTCCCCAAGCCCCCAGGGGCCTGTGGCTGCCCATGGGCTCCTCGACCTCCTGTTCCAAGGTTTGCAAGGTGTCAGGATTCAGATCAGCGGAGGGAGACCTTTGGGTCCTTCCTGTGGTAGGGGCGCAATACCACACTCCGAAGCAGTCTGCTATAAGGGCCTTTACAATTAGAATGGTGTTTTTTGGGGTTGTTTGGTAGTATAACTATACAGGGACCCTAAGGGAAGAATGTTAATAATTGTTCCGACCCTTGTTCGCAGAGCCCTTCGAAACCTCTCCTCTTCCGCCTCCCGGCGACGCCGTCGTCGGCTGCCACGGCTGCTGCGGTCCTGCCAACTCGCTCCCCCCCCTCTTGGGACATACCGGTAGCTTCAAGTATGCTCTCCTGCTAAAAAGCGTGGCTATTCAAGTAGGGTTTAGGGTTTTGAAAAGGGTTTAGGGTTCAGGGTTTAGGGTTTAGGGGTTAGGGTTTAGGGTTTAGGGTTTAGGGTTTAGGGTTTAGGGTTTAGGGTTTAGGGTTTAGGGTTTAGGGTTTAGGGTTTAGGGTTTAGGGGTTAGGGTTTAGGGTTTAGGGTTTAGGGTTTAGGGTTTAGGGTTTAGGGTTTAGGGTTTAGGGTTTAGGGTTTAGGGTTTATTAGGGTTTAGGGTTTAGGGTTTAGGGTTTAGGGTTTAGGGTTTAGGGTTTAGGGTTTAGGGTTTAGGGTTTAGGGTTTAGGGTTTAGGGTTTAGGGTTTAGGGTTTAGGGTTTAGGGTTTAGGGTTTAGGGTTTAGGGTTTAGGGTTTAGGGTTTAGGGTTTAGGGTTTAGGGTTTAGGGTTTAGGGTTTAGGGTTTAGGGTTTAGGGCTTGAAGTTCCAAGTGGGAGCCGCTAGTGTTCGTGCCTCGTCCTCACGCCGGCGCCTCGAGCGGTTGGATGTTGCCTCGCTGACAGCATCCTCGTCCTGAGACCGCTTCAGGATGTAATATAGGGCTCGGAATAACTAATAATACTCCCCCATGGTCTCTATATAAATGAACTATAACAACCCCCAAAATTCTATTCTCATTAAGGCCCCTATACCAGCGCGCCACGTAACAGGAACCACGTTTCAGGAATCCAAAGGCGTACAGGAAAGACTCCCCACCGTTCCTGGTACAGCTTTGGCCCAGTTCCTGAAAGGGGTTCTTGAAATAGGGTTGCTGCTCGCTGGTTCTGGTTACAGCGTTTACTCGCTTTAGGACTCACCCTTGTTGCGGATATCTGCGAAATGAGGCCTGAAGCGTACTTGAATCAAAAGACCTGATTCTAAAACCGTACAGCCTAAACCACCCTAAGCCCGAAACCCCCTAAACCCCTAAGCCCTAAACCCAAACGCCTAAACTAAAACCACCAAACCTAAACCCAAAACCCCTAAAACCACTAAACCCCTAAACCCCTAAACCGATGCTCCAGAAACACGACCAAGGCGTGGGCTTCCCCGCGGCGCCGGCGACTCCTGAACTGCAACCGCGGAGCCGCGCGGAAGCAGGGGGGAGCGTTTCGGGGTTCAGACGTAGGGTTTGGGGGTGTAGGGTTTGGGAGTTTAGGGTTTGGGGGCTTACTGTAGGGGTTTGGGGGCTTTGGGTGCAGGATTTTGCAGCCCAAGCCAAGCCAGAGCCATTCCAAAACTCACATGTCACATGAGTTCAGAGGATGGAGTTGAGCCTCTTAAGTCAATTGGGGCACATGGGGCATTTGATACTGTTAGCAAGCTCTTTCGAGGCACCTGCGATGGGCCCCTTGACCCTGTAGCCTACACTTCTGTAGCCATGAATGGTAGTTGAGTCGCTTTGAGTCTGGAGCGAGGAGGACAAGGAAAGGAAGGAGCCGAAGAGGCGGAGGAAGACAAAGAAGAGACTTAACATGCAGGCGGAGCCTGAGTCAGGCGGCGCCAGAAGGCACCGTCGCCTAAGCATCGAGACTTCCACAGCCCCCACCAAACTCAGAAGCAGAACTATTCGCGCACCATCCCACTCTGGCCCGAAGAAAGGTTGCACAGGCGAGGCGAAGTGAAAGAGGAGCAGAGGTAGATGGAAGAGAGAACATTTTGCGGAGGCCGTGAGGCCAATGAGACGAAGCAGGACTTCGCGAGAATGCACGAGTCATACTGGAACCCCAAACTCTAAACCCTACAACCTACAACCCTAAACCCTTAACCCTGAACCCTGAACCCTAAACCCTAAACCCCAAACCCTAAACCCTAAACCCTAAACCCACTGGCTCCTGTGGCTTCTTCGCGACTCCTGGGCTGAACTCAGAGGGATGCCGGAGCTTTGCAGGGGCACCACCTTTGGCCCTGAAAGGGTGGAGGCTCCTTAGGGCTTCTTGGGATTTAGAGTTTAGGGTTTAGGGTTTAGGGTTTGGGGTTTAGGGTTTAGGGTCAGGGCTTAGGGCTGTTTAGGGCCGTTTCGGGTTCAAGGGTTTAGGGTTCAAGGGCTTGGGTTTCAGGTTTAGGGTTTAGGGTTTGGGGTTTGGGGTTTGGGGTTTGGGGAGGCCCCTCGAGTTCGCCAAGGCTCTGATGTGGCATTCGTCTCTTCATCCTCCTTGCTGAGCCAGGAGTTGCAACGGAAGAAGCAAATCAACGACCGAGTTCCCTTTGAGGGGTGGGGTCTGGGCAGGGTCTGGGATTAGGTTTAGATTGCTACCTTGCTGGGCATGTCGGGCGGTCCACGAAAACACAGCACAATTAGTGGTAGGACCTGACTACGGCAGCATCAATGGGCGGGGGTCGTACTGCTCGGCATTCGACATTACCATGTCTAATCTCTATGAACTGATAGAGATGGGGTCGTGCAGCAAGCGAGCCCCGAAACTCCCAACCCCAAGACCTTAATCCTACAACCTACAACCCTATGAACTCTATGAACCCTATGAACCCTCGATCCACCAACGGCGCGGAAGTCCTGGCGTCGGCGGCGCCGGCGCTCTGATCTCTCCGATCGCTCGGAGATGCCCTGGCTGAGTTCATCCGAGTCCTGCGCTGACAGCGGGCAGGGTTTTAGAGGGGGTGGGATGTAAACCCAACTTGCACAACTCCAGAAGACCTGGAAGCCCTACACCTGTACACCCCTAATCAGAACCTAAACCCTAAACCCCAAACCCCAAACCCTATACCCTAAACCTGTGGAATCCCTGCCCTGAAAAGCTCCGAGTCCCCAGAAAATACAGGGGGAGAGGATGGCCTGATGCCGTCGAGACCGGCGCCGGGTGCCTGAGGTGGCGCCAAAGGCCCGCAAAGTGACACGCGGAAGGCTTTAAAGGGGATAAGGGTGTGTAGGGCTTGGACCTTAAAGCGGAGTGGCTTGCTACTGGGTGCCCGCCCCTAAGGCGACCCACGCGGGCAAAAGGCGACCCACCCCAGTGTGACGCCCCTGAAAGCAGAAGGCAACCCATGCATGCCAAAAAGCGACCCACAGAAAGCTAATCCCCAGGGAGACGCCCTTGCCAGGCTACTTTTGCAACATAGCAAAAAACAAGCAAAATGCACGGGATGTGGACGTGAAGAACCCTTCGGGTCGTGCAGAAGGGTTTCGAAGACCGTTCAGAAAGCCGGGCACGTGATACCCTTCAGAAACTCCGGACAACACGCCCCGAACCCTCAAGCACGAAAATCCCTCAAGCACGCCCAAACCGGCTCTGGACCCTCAAGTTCTACAGCCCTAACCCTTAAAACTCAAAAATGCCCCTAACTCCCAAAAATACCTGCAAAACCCTTCTAAGCCCTGAAGCCCTGCAAAACCCGAATCCCAAAACCCGAAACCACCTCTACGAAGGCCTAAGACCCCAAACTGCACAAGCCCAAACAACCCCAAGAAGCTTGCTAACCCGACAGTGCTCAAGTCCTAAGTCCGAGTTTATCTTAAGCCCTGCAGCGGCCAATCTTAAACTCCTCTAAGAAACCACCAAAAAGCTGGACTCTTCTCTTGCCCTCCCCCCCCCCCCCCCCCCCCCCCCCCACCCCCATTCTTGGCGGGCTTCGGGGGTTGGCTTTCACAAGTATCCGACCTAGGAAGAAAAGGGCGCCGCCTTTGCCCACTTGAAAGGAGGTTGAAAAGCGAGCCACGCCCCGACAGAAGTAAAAATCTGAGGCCACGCTCCCAAACCCGAAATCCTGTAGAAACCATTGCAGACAGGGCGACGGTCGGAGGCCCGCCCGTCGAGGGTCTGAGGATGATCTAGGTTGAAGTTGGGATTTCCCCCCCCCCCCCCCATTACAAACCAATTTCTCAGACCCACAGTTTTACTGTTAAGCAGTTGGCCAAAGAGGAAACTTGGGGGTTTACGAAAATAGGAGACCCCAAATATAGACCCCAAATAGATCCAAATAGTAGGATCCCCTTACAATAAACACCCCAATATGGTACCCCCAATATCGTAAACCCCCATTTGGGGTACCTTCTTCCAAACTGAAGTTCGAGATCTCGAGATCCGATGCTTGCGCCATTGTTGCTGGAACCTAGAAATCCCAGCAGCTTTTAAGGGTTTAGGGTTTAGGGTTTAGGGTTCAGGGTTTAGGGTTTAGGGTTTAGGGTTTAGGGTTTAGGTTCGTGAAAGGTCTTGATGCCCAGACTCCTTCAAGCGCACCCGGTCTCCTCCTGATCTTACGTTGCATGTACTTTTGGCTGCAGGGTTGCTGAATCCTGAAGGTCGTCGGAGTGATCCCGCTGTCTTCACGAAGCCCTGTTGAGCGGAGCCCTCCCCTCTCCACCCTGTCCCAAACAACTCTGTGAATCCTAAACCCTAAACCCAACACCCAAACCCAAAACCCTAAACCCTAAACTCTAAACCCTAAACCCAGCCCCCAAGCTCTTCCGCTGCCGGGGGAGCTCCCGAGCTTGGGCCCTTCAAGGAGAAGTTTCAAGGCGAGGGAGAACCTAATTTCGGCGCGCCCACAGCTCCAAAGACCCTGAGCACCCTTTCACCCCTGAGCCTCTTCTACCCCAAACCCTAAACCCTAAACCCTGAAAACCTAAACTCTACACCCTACACCCCCCCAAAAAACGTAAATAAACCCTAAATAAACCCTAAACCCCAAACCCTAAATAAACCCCCCCCCCCCCAAAAAAAAAGCCCTTAACTACGGAAGAAACTTGCCGAGCCTCTACTTCGGTGCTTGGGCGCCGCGACAGCGGCGGCGAAGCCAAGACGGAGTCGCCCTGGGTGGCGAAGCCCCGTTTGTCAAATTTGGGTTTGGGGTTTTGGGGTTTGGGGTTTGGGGTTTGGGGTGTAGGGTGTAGGGTTTAGGGTTTAGGGTTTAGGGTTTAGGGTTTAGGGTTTAGGGTTTAGGGTTTAGGGTTTAGGGTTTAGGGTTTAGGGTCTCAAGTCCAGGCATTTACGAGTAGAGCCCCTTGCTCCGGTATCGAATATAGACCCGCCCACCCATTGGAGGGTTTAGAATGCAGGGTTCAGAGCCTGGAGGGTTTGGGGTTTAGGCGGCTTAGGGTTTCCGAGCAGGGTGTGGGTTTCGGCCTGCTGCACTTCTTGTGGCGTGAGGGAACATTAACGCATCGTAGATACAACAAAAGCCTAAAGCCCTGTCAAAACCAAGACACACACGCACAAAAAATGGCCTGCCCCGTCAGAGAGCTTTGGGTGTCCACCTCCCCATCTGGGGCAGCAAGCCTCCTGGAGAGAGAGAGAGAGAGAGAGAGAGAGAGAGAGAGCAGAGAAGGAGAAACAGAGTCGGTTTTGGAGCTTTCGGACTTGTGGGTTCGGGGTTTCGGGAGCTCGCGTTCTGTGCAGAGCTGCGCGACACGCTGTGAGTCCTGTCGACATCCTCCACCTCCACCGGCAATGACGACCTAATTGGGCGGGAGGAGGTTGGAAGACTCAAAAAGCTGTCCATAAATAGCCCGCATTCCCGAACCAACTACCCCTAAACCCTAAACAATAGAACCTCAAACCCTAAAACCGTAAAGCCTCATCCTTCACATCCTTAAGGCCCGCTTTGAGGGCCCTGCCGGCTGCTCCGCCTGCTGCCCTGCAATTGGAGAGCAGCTGATTTAAGGAGTTATAGGGATTATGG